AAGCCAGGGAAAGCGGGTGGGGCCACTTCAGTGGGGTAGACAGGAGCGATCATCATGGCATAACCGACGCCAACACCGGCGACGAAGCGGCCAACCATGATGAAGGGGTAGTTGGTGGCGAAACCCATGAGAAGGGCACCCGCGAAGAAGAAGGATCCGGCCAAGACGATGGTGTACCTTCTCCCGATCCAATCGGACGTCCTTCCGGCCAATCCAGAACCCACGATAGAGTATATATTTAGGATCCCCATAAAGATTTCGAGCTGCACGTCCGACAGTTTCAGATCATCTTTTATGAAGATGGCAGCTCCACTCACCACACCGACATCTGCATCACACGGAAGAAATAGACGATGTTTCAATACAAGAACGATATTCGATAGATAAACTCTAGCTAAGACCATGGATTGAAACCCTAACCCTAGCTCCGGACCTTTACTGAAAAAAGAAAAAGAAAAAAGGGACTAACCGTAGCCGAGAACGATGGAGGACATGGAGGCCAAGACCGCACAAGCAGTGGCATAAAGCCTATTTTTGCGGCCAGATCGCTGAGACGTGACGATGCCCGCCTCCACTCCATCCATAGCCATCTTCGAGGAAATCGAGATTAAGTTTACGGAATGAGAATGAGAGGGGAAGAGAGTGATTGATTATCTATCTCCCTTGTGGAAAGGGATATTTATAAGTGGAGAGGTGAAGACGAGTTCTTGTTAAGACAACCTAAAATGCGGGAAACAACAGAAGAGATTCGGTAATTAAGATATATCTTCAACTAGTTAGGTTCCTGTAATGACAGCGAGGATGTCTAAACCGATTGGATTCTATTTCGAGCTTTGATTTTTCGCTACCGTTGCGGCATCTGAGATTTAATATTTTTGATAATAATAGTAGAAACTCCGTTGCAAATCTAAAATTCTAACACGTACGTATCTAGACATTTCAAGATATTAAGATTTGGAATCCGTGTAGTCTGAGATCGGGGTTCGAATCCGTCTCTACATAAAAATTTAGGGGTATGGCGGCCTAGTATATTCCCTTCCCCAACACCACTAGATGGCGATACGAACTGGGTGGTCCTTTAATCTTTGGAATCCAATCTCTGTCGATTTTGGACATTTTAAAAACATATTTGAATCCCATTTTTGTAATACAATGTGAAGATAATTTATTCGTAATTTAACAAAAAAAAGATAATTTTATTCGTACATGGATTAATTTATTAGGTACGTACTGTGCATTGCATTAGATTGTAGTTTGCAAACAGAAATTGACATAAAATAAATTAATAATAATCAAACTAAAAAAAAGAAATAAGAAACATCAATATCATAAATTAATCCTGTTATTGTCATTGCAAAGTAATATTTGATATTTACTCACTATTAATTTCGTCTAGGGGTGAGTATAATATCCAAAAAAACCGAAGCGATCCGTTTTTCGATCCGTATCTGAACCGAAATTCGGATATCCGGAGTTTACGGATCGGATACGGATATTTATTTTGAAATATTTATCGGATACAGATCAAATACGGATATCAAATTCGAATTATCCGACATATCTGATCTGATCCGTATTAATTAAAAATATTATTAAATATAAAAATAATTTGATATTGAGATATAAATGCTTTATATATACTTACATGTTTTGTAGGGATAATCAAGAAATATTTTATATATATTGAGATTTAGAATGTTTAGTTTTTTAAATATTAAGATTTATTATGTTTAATTTTTTGAATTTTGAACTTTCAATATAATTGCATATGATAGATTATGCTTATATTTATATTTGAATTGATTTAAAATATTTAAATTATGAATTTTAAATTGTGAATAATATTTATATTAAATAACTTTATATAATTTATTTATATTTGAAATTGTTATTTAAATTTGAATTAAATTTTTATAATTTTTTTATATCGGATACGGATATTCGCAAATATCCGCGATATTTACGGATATCTGAAATTACAGATATCCATAAATATCATATACGAATAATAAAATCGAGTATTTGTGTGGATCGGGTACAGATACAAATATCTCAAAAATAACGGATATATGATCCGTGTCCACTCCTAATTTCATCTCTCTTTTTATTTTCTAGATATAATCTATCACACTTTTTTTTCTCGTAATTTTGTCAACTGTTTTTTTAAGTGTGTTAAATTTATGTATAACGAACATGTAATTTATCATCCCTAAAACTTTTTGTGTCTTTGTTTTATGATATCCAAAA